CAGGAAGGCAAAACTGAAACCGCCTCCAGCACACAGCAGTCAGATGCATCCACACCTTTTTGCAGAATGTTTTTTCAGTATGTGGTAAACCAGGTTATCATCTAAAAAGGACAGGTCATCATCAAAGGCTGTGGGTCTGCAACAAGCTCGCCTTACTTTGTCAGTGACTAGTTTTTTCTTTCTGGTTAAATTTTTTAAAATTTTGTCATATGTGGTCTCGGCTGCATCACAAGATCCACTACAATACCGGAAAATTAGCTCTTCTTTGGTTTCATATCCCAAATCCAAGTCAGTCACGTTTAAATGTATTTCTGTTAAGACACATCCTCGATTTTTTCCCTTTTGATTCCTCCTTCCCTTTTTGCTGGAATTCTCTATGTTTGTGGCTGCGTTTTGCTGGTTTCTTTCCCACCTAGAAAAAATTGGAGTCTGTTTATCCAGCGACCTCCTCAGTCTTTTAATGATGGCTTGAATAAAGTCCACTACCTCATCAAACTGATCTGGATAATCCTCTGGCATATTAGCTGTTTGGGAAAGAGAGAAAAGGCTTTGTCACATGTCAGTTGTCATTAATGGAAGTTTATCCATTTGTGGCTAAAATATGTTAGACACATGCAAGCTCCCCTGCCCATTACTTCAGAGAGTGCGCCCAGGACCCTCAGAAATCAGGGAGAATTTGGAATGGTTTAGATCATCATGGAAACTCATTTGGGGAAAAAGAAATGAGATATGTATGTATCTCTGTAGGTGTCTGCTGATGCTTGATAGCACTCTGGCACATCTTTCAATATTGAATGAGCCCTGTCAAAATCAAGGGAAAGAAAAGCATGTCATACAAATATTAGTTAATGGGTGTATGAAGCTACTGTAGAGAGGTTATACAGGCTCTTCCCAGCAAAGCAGCAAAAGAATGAGGTTTCTTTAAGGCAATTTTGTGATTATAATTGTTAATTGTTGTCTTTTCACACCAGCAGTGATTAGTATTGCCAAAGTCAAATAAGGCTTTTGGGCAGGACAGAAGGAGGAATTTGCTGGGGTGCCAGGTTGAGCTATTTATTCCTGGCTGAATGTCTGCTTTTTTAAATGCTTTTAGGGGATAATTATTATCAGAGCTTTTGAAAAATTTCTCATGGAACTATTTCATATCACAAGATGCTGATTAGATTGAGTAGAAATAGGTCAGAATAGAAGTATTATGTTAATTTTCAAGGGAAGTGTTATTAATGCATTTTCTTTTTATGAAATTAAAATATCTATTTCATTTTTCATTTTATATATACTCTACCAAAGATAAATTATTCAAGTAAATTAAATGTTGAAGTCAATGAAATATTTCGATATTAGCAAAATGAACCACTTCAAGGAGAGTAAAATTGAACATGTTCTTCTGAAACATTCTGAGATTTCAGCTTTTCATCATGATTTGGAATAAAATCACATTTTGAAATCTTTAAATTTCCCATGGACTAAATCCCTCAGTGTGATCTGCTTTAGCGAATACAGTGATTTAATGGAGGGTCAGGTTGCCAGGAGCCTGTGTGTGGAAGCCCTTATGTTATATTATTAATATTGTCTCTTAAACACGTAAACAACATTGCAGTAATTGAGATTTTTTTTTCTCAGTCACTGTGCCAAAAATCAAGTCTTTGAGGATTCACTTCCTTTGCATGAAGACCTAAGAGGATGCTTCTTTCTGTACTTAACTCCTAAGTGCCCACCCACATAACAGACCAGTGCCACGCACCCAGACCTGCATGTAAGGGGTCTCCATTTCCAGGACCCCTACGAATGTCCCAGGAACTGCAAACATCGGGAAAGGTGATACCTGACACAGTGCGCCTGGCCAGGGGTTGGTACCTCCACTGAGCCATGAAGGGGTCAGGTGCTGAGATAGGAACAGCTCCTTAGGCAAAGGCTCAGCACCACATTTCCCTAATAAACACTATAACAGACGGGAGCCCTGATGGGAGACCAGGCAGCAAATGTACCCAGCCCACATGCAGTGGCATGGACTCAACAGGAGAGAAGACACAAGGCTGCCTCCCATTGCCTAGTGAAGGTGCACTTTTATATCCTCAACAGAAGCACCAAATATGCAGGAGATGGGGGCAGCAGGATGTTACCTCTGTTAGTGCAAAAAACTGCTGCAACACAGTGCATCTGCACTTAAGGAGGAATATGGACCCCACTCCAAAGCAGCCACATCCTAGAAGCCCCCTTTCATGATAAAATAGGGATGGATCAGAAGTATGTGGTTTTTCATGGACGGCTCCAGCAAAATAGTGCAGACTGTAAAAGAGTCACATAATGAGGGTGACACATGGGAAGCAGGATCCTATAAACTGTAGAGTTTGTGACTGGGAAAAGTGAATTCCATTGTGTTTTACAGGTATTCAATGCTAATGGCGACAACCTCCCAGACCAGTGACTATGAAAAGACACGAAGGAGGCATGGCTGCTACCTACACAGCTATACGGGACCTGAACAAAGCAGGACCTTGCGCCAAGCCCTATAAGCCTGTGAAACAAATGACAAGTGCACCCTTCTTACACTCCTCTGGCATTAATTCTGTAGCAGGTACCAAAATACCCACTATGAGCCATACCTACTGGAAGGGGGTAGCTTGGATAGATGTGTCCATTGGATGCATGTCCTGGTTTTGGCTGAGATAGAGTTAATTTTCTTCCTAGTAGCTGGTATAGTGCTGCATTTTGGATTTAGGATGAGAATAATGTTGATAACACACGGATGTTTTAGTTGTTGCTAAGCAATGTTTACACTAAGTCAAGGACTTCTCAGCTTCTCATACTGTCCTACCAGCGAGGAGGCTGGGAGGGTACAAGAGGCTGGGAAGGGATGCAGCCAGGACAGCTGACCCAAACTAGCCAAAGGGATATTCCATACCATAAAATGTCATGCTCAGTACATGAACTAGGGGGAAAGTTGGCCAGGAGCTGTTGCTTGGGAACTGGCTGGGCATCAGTCGGTGAGTGGTGAGCAATTGCATTGTGCATCACTTATTTTGTTTATTATTGTTGTTGTTGTTGTTATTATTTCCCCTTCCTTTTCTGTCCTATTAAACTGTCTTTATCTCAACCCACAAATTTTACTTTTTTCCCCCCGATTCTCTCCCCCATCCCACTGCGGGGGAGTGAGTGAACGGTATGGTGTTTAGCTGCCTGCTGGGTTAAACCACAACAATGCACCACCTGGCTCTGTTGCAAGTACAACCTTGACCCTGGCACAGATACAGATGGAGAGGAGTTTGGCAGGAGGCACTTGTTCTTGTTGCTGTGGGACCAGGTGGTTTCTAGGTTTCTTACGCAGAAGCTAGGTCTCTTATCTTATAACCCAATAGGGGAAGGATGTGGCCCTGAAGAGAGGGCTCTAGCTGTGCCATTCCCCACTCACCTTCAAATTACCCCTTCATACTACTGTGACTACCCCAACCCCCACCTCTGTCATATTTCTGGCCCAGTACTTGTAGCAACACATTGTATGACACAATGAGACGTTGACTGTGGAGAGTGAAATACAACCATCAGGGAAGTATACTAGGGTTTAATGAAATCCATGCAAGGGTCAAACATCAGGAAGGAGCTGGGAGATTGTTATAGAGAAACCAAACAAATATGTGGAAACTCTTGTCTGCAACCTTCAGCCTCATATTTATCTCAAATCTGGTATGCTGCCTTTGCAGTGAGGGAAGTAAGTCTCCCCCCACCTAAGAAGGGAGAAACAAAACTGTGGATTACCCGAAGAGATAACAAACCAACTAGGCACATAATTTTTAAACTGCTTGCAATTCAGGTGCAAAAATGTCACCTACCCCTGCAACAGTACTATATGCAGGAGTCTACTTTGGTTAAATATTAATCAGTTATAGGGTCCAAGCACTGTCCTGCCCAAGCCAATCCAAGTATGCCCTGGAGGGTAGATAAAGAGGAGGAAAGGCCCATGTTGTGGACTGTGTCCCTGCTTGGAGCCCATGCTGACATCTATCCTAGTTCATGTGTGATGACTGCCCCAACTGCATCAAGGGAGCTAATGTTGCTGAGAGCCTTCTGTGCTGCAAGTGGCCTATGATACTTAAGGTGGAGGAAACACACCGTAGACGAGCCCTATGCAACGTTGCTAATGCAGGCATGGAGTGTCAACATGGCAGAAGGTGGAAGCAGTAGGGGAAAAAGTAGATCAAGTAATCAAGCCAACGGGGTATCCAACTAGAGGAGCCCTACCTACACGCGTGGACTTGCTGCAACCAGAAGATGGGATAATTGGCAGCATGGCTGATCCCGCTAATCTCACTGGGGCTCTAACACAAACCATGAAAGAAGCACTCCAAGCTGTAACCTGGGATGAAGTGTGTGTGGCTGATGTGTCGAACAGAGCCAAGGATCCCTACTCAACTCATCCCCTATTGCAACATCAGGCCACTTGGGACATTTGCTGTGAGGGATGCCAGCACTATGAGTAAGATGAATGCCAATTTTCTGTCTCCAGAGTGGACTTCCCCTTCAGCCCAGGGGACTGGAAAATATCCCAGACAGATATCCAAATCTGTCCAGAGGACTCCTGCAGTGACCCCCAGTAGGGTCACAGGGCACATGGTGATATTAGGGAACTGGTGGGTGGGCACAGAGCCCCGCTCAAGGAAACGTGCTGGACCTGTTGACCCTGGTCAGTGTCTGCCCACATACAACCACACATGCTATTATGGCACTATGTGTGTACATGATGTTAACCACAGTGGCAGCTGCATTACTGGGCTACCCAGTGAATCCTTGCAAGTTGTTGTAAGCAACACCACCCTCTACCTGTGGAGCCCCAAACTAGTCATGATCAATGCAACAATGCATTTTTTGGCACATTCCAACTGGATTGCCAATGTGCCCCAAGTTTGCTTCCAAAATTTAGCACTGTTCAAGGAACACCTCCAATCCCCCGTGATCAACTAGCCTCAACACAATCCCAAAAAGCTGAGTTTCAACACACACTCAGTGGTGTGGGCCTGTGCTCTTGGTGCTGCGTCAAGCTCAGCTGGACCCCAGCAACCACTGAATCATGGACTCAAGCAATGGGGCTCATACTGATCAGATGTGGCTTGGTGCTAATTTTCTGCTTCCTAACAAAGCGTAGTCATCAGTGTGACTACAAACATTCACTAAGAGTGGCTCACAGGGGTTTGAAGGAAACCTTGACAGGCAGGAGTGAAGTGAGAGCTGACTTAGTGGCCCATGCCAAGGTGCCAGTCATAACTCAGTAGGGATATTCAGTTGTTCAATAAGTATGGGTGCGAAGCCTGAGAGCTCAAAACAAAATGCCATAAAAAATGCTTGAAGTAGGACCCTGGGCAACCAAGTAGAAATGCCAGCATTAACACAAGGCGTGATGGGTTGAAACAAGGCACTAGAGATAAATGCTAAGGAAGCTACCACCAGATATCATACATGAATAAGCAGTATCCACTGACCAAGGACTAAAGACCATAAAAGGCTAATGGACAGCAGGGAAGGTG